ATGTTCTTTTAGGTTTGTTTTAATTGCATTTGGCTTCATTATTAGATTTTTTTTTTCCTCTTGTATTATGAATCTGTCAAAAACTATCTTCTTGTATAGCCTATTAAACAGGCTTACAATTATCTTACTAATCTGTTTTAATTATTTCAAATCTTTTGTTTATATTTTCTTAGATCTGCTTTCTTTGCAGCTACTCTTATTCTTCTTTTTCTTTTTCTTTAAGTATTTTTTGCCAGCCTTTAATATCTTCTATCTAGGCCTCTGACCACTGTTTGTACAGTTCTGATAACATCACTCCTATTTTTCTTTCTATTGCTTTGAGTTTTTTGTTTATTTCTTCTTTTTTTTTTTTTCTGCCTTTTGAATTTTCTTTTTTTTTTGCTTTTTTGATTATTTGTTGCAGCTCTACAATGTACTTATGCTGTTGTTGTTTTCTTTGATTTTGCTTTCTGTTTATCTTTGTATTAAAAATCTTCTTTTTCAGAATATATTTGTTGGCTGCTTCAAGTATAGCATATTCTATTGCTTTCTATATATTACTTATTGCATTTGTATTGCAATTAATATCAAAATTATCTTCTAACAGTTGTTTTGTTGCTTTCTTTTATTCTAGCTGTTTTTTGTAGTTTTGTTGTATACTCTTTTTAATTTTCTTGTTTCACTTCATTATATAAATATACTGTTCTTGTTTAATCTTTACATTTAACTTCTGTCTTGCTATTATTTGCTACTGCATATTCTAGTCATATTTCTATAGTTATTATTTTGTAGTTACTATTAGTCAGTTCTTCTGCCTCTTCTATTTCTGCTTTCTGCAAACCTAATGTAAGCACTTCTGATATTTATATATAGTCTATTCTTGTTACAGTATTTTTGTTTGACCATATATATGCTTTCTTTATTAAATGAAAGCTTCTGTACATATTTGTAAACTCTGGTTTTTTAAGCCAGCTAAATATTATAACTTTTTATAACTTGTTGTTTGTAGATATTGTTTATCTAATATATTGTCTATTGTGTAATTAAAATTTCTAAGTATAATTATTTGTATGTGTTTTTTTTCTTTGAAATTAATTCTACTACTTTTTGTTGTATGCTTCTGCTAATTAATTTGTCATTTGACTGTATATATATTTCTATTACAATTAGCTCTAATTGTTTGAAGTATATCTGTACTTCTATCATATATTGACTGCTTCTCTTTACAGCTCTTATATGCTTTTTCTATTTTTTATCTTTAGTATTTTCACATCTGATTTTTTTTTCTTGTTTTATGTTACATTAGTCCAAAACTTTTTATACTGTATATTTAGACTATATAATAAAAAAATTTTTTTTCTTTCTGCTATGTTTATTTTCACTATATCTAGAATTGTTATTTTTTCTTTTTTTTGCCTACTTAGTCAGATTTTTTAACTTTTATTTCTTAGTCTTAAGTCTATTAATATTATAATATACTATTTTAAATTTTTTCTGGCTTTTTGTTTTTACTTTTTTTTGAGTTAATTATTCTCTAACACTATTATATCATCTTCTTTCTCTTTACCTTTTCTGCTTTTAATTTCTGATAAATAAGAAGACTGTTTTATTTGTCTTTTCTCAAATGTTTTTTTTTCATTTTGCAGAAATTTTATAATCTTCTTATCCATATTTGTATTTTCAATTGTGACTACTTTCAGAAGCATTGGGCAGGTTAAGCCTATCCTTCATTTATTATTTCTAACTTTTCTAATATGTTTTGAAGAATCTTTTGATGAAGTTTGGTTTTCTTTCAAACCTCTTTTGCTTTTTTGCTATTTTTTTTGTTGCCTTTTCTATACTTCTTTTCAGTGTTTTTTTGGTTTGGTTCTTGCTTGTTGCTTAGTTTTTTTTAATTCTAATTTCTTTTCTTCTTGCTTTTATATATTATGTTTGTATTTGCATGTTTCTTTAATATTTGTATGTTCTATAGCTGTTTTTTCTTTTAACTCCCAATATAATGTATAGTTGTAATATCTTATTGATTTGCTTATAAATTTTTTTAAATCTATGTTATTTGCAAAAGTGATTGTTGTTATACTTTTTGGGTTTCTATTTCTGTTTAGAGAAATATAAACTGCTTTTGCTTTCTTGTTTTTCAAACATCTTAGTAGCAAAACCTCAAAGGCTTCTCTTGCTAAATCCATTAGTTTAGCAGTATGTTGTTTCTGGTTCTCTTTCTGTGTATAGTTTTCAAACTTCTATGTTATCTATACTAGATTGTTATTACTAAATAACAATGACTATAAGACTCTTTCTTTTTCTAAAAATGTAGACTATATTATTGCTAATACTTTGAATTTTGTTCTTTTAATCTTAACTACTTGTGCATCTTGTATATTTCTGTAAATAAATTTGACTTCTTTTTTTTTATATTTGCTAGAAGGTCTCAGATTGTTAAAAATTTGTCTGTTTTTTTCTTTTTCTGTTTCTTTTTTTTTATTCTTTTTATTATGTATTTTTGTTATAATATTTTTTTTTTCTTCTTGGTTTCTATGTAATGCTCTTGTTTTTGCATGTTTTTTTTGATTTTTTTTTCTCTTCTTTCATTATTTAAACAATGCCTTTGAACAAATCCTATATCAAGTAAAGAAAAGAGGAGGTAAGTCTAATGCTTAAGTATCTATTAAGAAGGTAATTGTGCATCCTTTATGATTTGTAGTTTTTCTCTCACAAATAAGCATCTAGGACTATTGTAAAGCTTATAGAAAATAGATTAATTTTTTTTTATTAAATAAGAATCAATTATAAAAATTTCAGAAAACCAATCACAATTAGTAGCTTGTCTTCTTTTATTTTCTAATTTACCAGGTTCTAAAAGATAATAAACTTCTGTATAATTAAATAAAAGTAGTTTATTATAACCAATTAGTCTTTTATGCTTTATTAAAGGTTTAGCTATTATTTTTTTTCTTTTAATACTTGTTTAATAGCTTTATTAGAAGACATACTTATTAATCAAATAAAAGTATTATTATAAATATCATTATTTATATGAAGACCCTTAACTTATTTTCTAGATTTATCAGTTAAAAGTAAATAAAGATCTTTAGCATCTTGCTGAAAATAAGCATGTTTTTCAAATTTTTAATAGTCACATTTAGCAATAGCTATGCCATATTTAGAATTAGCATACTGAATTTTTATATTATGACTAAGTAATAAATCTCTACACTTACTCAAAAATTCTGTATCTTTATTAATAATTAAAACATTTGGCTAAATAAGAAGGCAATTAAGATTATCATAAATTTTTTGAAATGCTTTAGCTACTTGTGCAGAAGATTTCTTGATTAAAACAAAGCTATGACAAAACCTAGTAGCTACATCTTTTATTACAAACATATGTTTATAAATTTGATTACTTATTTTATTATGAGACATAAGAGTAGTATCAAATTAATGTATATTACTTAGTTCTTGTATATTATTAAAAAAAGCATACTGAATAAACTTTGGTCAAGGCTTGTGAATTTGATGCAAAGCTTGCCTGTTTAGCCAATTTTTAATCTTAATAAGAGAAAACCTATATTTGGCTTTCTTACAAGCATCTAGTATTTTTTAGCAGTTTAATAATAGCTTTAGATTAGTAATAGAGCTTTTGCAAAGTAAGATTTCAGTTAAGATTACATGTTTTTTAAGGATTAATATAAATAACTGGATCTTCTATTCGATTGTTTTTTGTAGATTTAGCAATTTCTTAACTGCTTTCTCACAATTTTTGCTTAAAGCCAAAAAATTAAGATATCTCTTAAATCTTTAAAAAATTATAGTAGATAAAAAAATATGAAGGAATTGCAACAAAGTAATCAAAAACTTAATAAAATAATATCCTAATTAGCAAAATCAAATAGTAATTTTGAACAATAACTATATACTTTAGAATAAATTATTAGTATATAAAAAGAAGAATAAGATTTCTTAAAGAAGAGTTAAATAACATAATCGAAGTTTTTACAAAAGAGAAAAAGGAGTTAAAAAAAGAAATTTCAAAACTAAAAAGAGTTGTTCACCAACTCGAGAATGAAAATAAAAAAAAATAAAAAAATTTCAAATAAGAATAGATTAATGTTAGAATTTGATAAGCATAAAACAAAATTAAAAACTAGAATATAAGAAATATCTAAATTAGCTAAAAATATACCTAAAACACAAGATTATACAACTAGATTAGTAAATGAGAATGAACAGCTTAAACAAGAAATAAATATAATAAAAACCAATTAAATAAATAAAGTTAACAAAATAAATTAGCAAAAAAATCATATTACAGACTTATTTTATCAAAATTTTGTATTAATATTATTGAAGTATAGAGATACATATAAGTTAAAACTTATAAATACTAGAGAGGCTTTACAAAATGCAGAAGCACAAAATTTTAATAAAAACAAATCTGATTCTAATAAAAATTCTATAATTTTGATTAAAATTTAGATATAAGTACAATAGCTAAATTAGCTATAAACTGATTTTTAAATGATACAACAATATGTAGAACTATTTTAAAAAATCAAATTAAAAGATCAACAAGGGCAATTCACTAAAAATATACTAATCTGCAACAAGATTTGGTAAATGAATGATAGAACTATGATATGTATATGCAAGAGCATAATCAAGTAGTATAAGAGTATAATCAGTTACAAGCTATTGCTCAGAATCAAGTAAATAGAATAATAAATAATATAGCAAAAAAGCAAACTTGTATTAATGAATTGCTATATGAAAATTTTGTTTTTCAGTTATTGTATTATTAAAATACTCTTCATTTACAACAATATAAAGTTGATAGAGGTTTGCTAGAATATAATCGAGATAGGTTATATAAATGATATAAGAAGTAGAAAAATAAGACTCATACAAAGTGTAAAAATATTTTAATTTTAAATTAACAATTTTTTGTACTACAAAATAACCTACCTAATATATAATGAATAAAAATAACAGGAATATCAATTTATTTTTTGATTAAAATGAAGATATATCAGATTTCTTTGCAAAACTTAGATTATATTTGCAAAACCAAGAAGTAGATCTAGTAGATAATGCAGAAAGTTCATCAACAAAAAGAGAAATAGCTATAAAATATTTAAAAGAATGTATAAAAGAAAGAGCTTTAGAATAGTTTGATGAAGAAATTATTACAAAACAGAATTAAGAATTAGCTAACTTACTTGATAATACAGAGCAAGCCAACTTAGTAGCTGTAAATAAGAGAACAGCAATTCAAATAGAAATCAAGTATTGAATAAAGCACTTGGCCAACCTAATAATGCAATAATTAAATTAAGAACTGTTGAGAGTTTTTAAGATAAAGATTTGCATATAGCAGATAGTTATTCTACTAACATTGCTATTAATACACCAAATGTTAATAATAGTACTACAGTAATTGTAGCTAGCATTTGTTTTAATCAAGTCATATGGTGGCTAAAAACACATTTTCTTATAATAAAAAAGAAGCTTCAGAATTTGCAATATGAAACAATTAGAAAATGAATATAACTATAGATAAATTATATAGAAAATTGTTACAAATAAGTAGACAAGCTAACTATAGGCCTGAAGAATTATGTAAAAAGTTCTTAGATGTTCTTTCTATTCTATGGCTTGAAAAAGCTAAGAATATTAATAAACATTTGCTATTAGATGAATTAGCTAAAAAGCTTTATAAGATAAAGTTATAATGAATTACTAGACATAAAAGAAATAGAATACCTAATCTGCTAGTATCTCAACAAGCATCTCAAGAAATATATAATCTTTTATTTATTTCAACTTTTTAACAGATAGCAGATATACAAAAATTATATCAAGATGCATTAGCATAGCAAAAAACTGAATTTTAGTCTTTATTAGAAAAGCAGAAAGCTGATTTTTAAGTACAGATGGTCTAGAAAACAGTTGCTCAAAAAGCACAGGCACCAGCTACACAAACTGTCAAACTGGTTAGACAGCCAAGAGGTTCTCCATCATCATTGCAATCAGAAAAAGATTTCTAGAATTATTATATATCTAAATTCTTAAATAAAATAGGTTTAATAAGTAAGAATAAATTAAATTTAGATTATTCTATAAAACTTTTTCAAAGACTTTATTTTCAACAAAACCAATTTATAAAAATAGATAGAATAGATTGAAAATATATAAAATTAATCAAATAACATCTTAATTTGAAAGAATAATACTCAATAATTAATTCAAAAAACCTATAACTAAATCAAATTTACACATTACTATTTTCAACTTCCATTTATACAGTTCCAATATACGCCTCTAGCTTCAAATAATGAGAAAGATAATAATGATGATTATAATGAAGAAAATAATAAATGAACTGAGTATTATCTACCAGAAAAAAAACAGATACTAACAGAATATAGCTAGTTCAAAATATATAATAAGCTGTTACCAAAACTTTTATTGGCAATGCATAAAATATGTCAGTCTCATATAGTTCAGAAAAAAAAATCAAAATTAAATAAGTAGTTTTTGTTATTATAATACTTGCATTGTAATATAAATGATCTATTAATTACTAATTCTTTTTTAGATAATATGAATAAATTTAGAAAAGTAAATAATGCAACAATTAATGCTTTGAAGTGAAAAGCTGATAAACCTTCTGACTTTGCTATAAAAGGAAATTCTAAACATATATCTAAATTATTAAGATAGTATATAGATATACTAATTAATATAAAGAACAAGAATGATAAGATTGTTACAGCTACTAGAAATTTTGCTCATATTAATAATAATAAACTTGAACTAATATTATGTTTAGATATAATATGAATTTAAAAAGTTTAAGATATTTTTGATCCAAATAAAAATTAATTTCAAATAAAGTTACATAAGAAAACTTATATTATTCTAACATTTAGCAAGACTCTAGAAGTTAAAGTTCTACCAAAAGAGAAGCAGGTTTACATAATTTAGCCCAAGTATCTAGTCTGACTAGTAAGAATAATTTAAAAAAAATATGTAAATTGTATGGACTATGAAGATATAACAATTTATATAAAAGAGCTTAAAAAGGCATTATTTTCTAGCATTCAATTGAATTTAAAAATTATAGAATACTATAATAATTTACTTGATCAATATAAAAAGATTTTTCTAAATTCAAATAAGGTTGAATAATTATTTAAAAACAAGAGCACTACCAGATGCTCTAATTTTCTCTATTTTAGAACTAGTTCTCTTATACAAATTTAAGCCATTTTTGGAAAATTTAATAAATGAAATAGAATTAGAAATGCAAACAATTTGGGTTCTTAATTTTTTTCTCTTAGTCTTTTTTATCTTACTATCTGAAACAACATTCTTTTTCAAAGCTGAATCAGTAGATTTTCTTATTTTAGTATCATGTATCTTATTTTTCTGTACTATAAATGCAGAATTAAATTTATTAGCATTATGTTTAAAATCTTTATTTAAGCTAAATATATTAATATTTAATTGCAATGTCTCTTCTCTAAAATCTATTAGTGAATAATTCTCTTTTCATATTTGATATACACATTTTGTTGATATTTTGTATTTATTTGTTATAGTTTCTAATACATATTTTATTAAATTTCTAGTATTAATAATATCTTATATATTATTATCTAATAAAAAAAATGTATCAGATCACAAATATCAAACTTTTTTTTTTGAATTCTGTAAAATAATATATTTAAAATAAAAAAATATTTAGATAATAATTTGAAAAAAATTTAATACTGTTTTGATATATATCTAATCTTTATTTAGTATTTTTAAATTATTTGATTAACATCCAATCCTATTTCAGTATTTCAAAACTATTTGGTTAATATCTAATCTTATTTCAGTGAAAATTCAATTTAAATATATCAGTTAATATCTAATCCTTATTTGATTTGCTATTCTTTTTAATTAGTATTTGATTAATATCTTTAGTCAATATTTGATTGCCATAACTACAAGCAATACAATAAAAACTTATCATATCTCATGATTCAATAGAAAGCTAGATATTGTAAGATTTAATCTGAGAATATAGAGGCATTGTATCAAACAATTTCTTATCTTTATTGAACACTATGTTATTTATTGGCAAATCAGTACTTAAATCAATAAGGGTTTCAGTTATAAGATTCTTTTTTCTTACTATTGAATTTTCAGTTATTTAAGTCTGATTTAAAGAAAACATATTTTGTACAGAGTCAATAGAATATTCTTATCCTCTTCATATTTGATAAATATACTTTAATAATGTTTTATACTTATTTATTAACTTATTTAAAATTTTATATCTTGGTTTTATATTGCAGCATTGCATAATATAAGAATAATCTTTAAAAAAATACAGTGATGCATCAGATCTTAAATATCTATTCATAATTCTATTATATATATGATAATTGATAATTTGTAAATTATAGGTATTATTAATATTAGTTATTTACTATTTAATTTATTTTTAGCTATTAATAAGAATACAATAAAGAATTTTACTTATAAATTTTTTAAATATATTTATGACTAAGTTGAAAAAAATATATTCAATATATATATCTTAAAAGATACCAAGAATAAAAAGATTCTGAAGGGGCCAAGTCATTGACTTAGTAACATTCATGAATTAAAACTTGAGAAAACATTATACAATAACATCAAAACTGCTTCTGATATTGCTAATAAATATAAAAACCTCTAGGACATATATTTAAAACAAAAAAAGGTATTATGTTAGTTAGTATATTTAAAATAATCTAAATTACTTGCATAAAGAAAATAAAATATGCAAAATAATTTAAATTACTTATATGAAGAAAATGTTTATATGCAAATTTCTATAAATTAAATTATTTTGTTAACTAAGCAACTAAATAATATAAATAATAAACTTATGTCTCAAATTACTTGTAAATAAAAGTCTTATACTAATCTTAATACTAAACAGTTAAAAAAATAAAACTGCTAAAGTCTGAGATTAATTTAAAAAATTCTGAAATTGTCTCTCTTAAGACTAAAATAAATGAATTAAAGACTAAGTTAGAACAAACAACATGAAAAGCTTTATTAAAGAATAATGATACTACACAGTTACTTTACAATTCCTTTTTTAAGATTAGAGTGAAAGAATTAAAAAATGAACTAAAGAAAGTTATACATAATTCATTAATTAAAGATAGATTAATTTTTTGTTTTAGGTTCAGAATAAGTGATCTGAAAGATGAATTAAAATAGATTCTTCTAAAATCATATCAATCAATTAATAATTTAAAAACAGGTGACAATACTATAGAAGAGGTATTTAGTTTTTCTAAAATACCTTCTTTATCTTTACACTACTTAGAACTTAAACCTGATAAAAACAAAATAAAAGATGTAATAAAACCTTTTATAGATTATGCCTGCCTGCAATAAGCAGAAAGAGAAACTTAATAATATTCAAGCTTTACCTATTGTTACATTAGGAGTTAATAATGCTTTAGTTAATGATTAGTATATAATTCTGTTTATATTTATGCTTGTTATTTTATCTTTAGTAATAATATTAATTATATGGTATATATACAAGCAATTTTTTTGTCTAATCAAAAAGAAATAAATTTTTTATTCAGTCTATAAAAATCAAAATTATAGTTTCCTGAACTATTATGCAAAAGAATCAAAAGACAACTAAACTGCTTCTTATGAAACTTTATCTTATAAATATAGATAAGGCCACAAAACATGAATCATTCTGAATTCAATCATTTTGTCTATCTAAATCTAATTAATAAGGAATTATCAGATAATCTTTAGATATCAATGACCACAAAATATTTTTTTATTACTTTATAAACTTTTTTTGCTAAAGACTCATAATCATCATATATATCTTTAAGAATTTGTTTTATATTATCTAATATTTTACATTTATGATGCAATAAAATATATTTAAGATTTGTATATATGTTTAAATAGGTTTCATAAAATGCTAAGTAATATAAATTGCACTAATTCCTTCATGTCTACCTGACCTAAAGAATGATATAATTTTTAGCTAAGTTGCTAGAGGCTTATTGACAAGATCATCAAATATTATAACAGTAAATCAGCTAACTCTTTTGAAAGATGAAATATCAAGTAGTTCTTCAGATATGATTAGCTTAAATCTCACATTTTTATACTATGAAGCTTGCTTATCTATAGCAATAAATTCATAAAAACATTGTACTGTTTCTCATAACTCTTCATCTTGATGTTGCATAACAACAATTAGGTTATTATATAGAATATATCTTTTATAAAAATTTTTGCTTCTGCCTTTTGGTATTTTATGACTATGCTTTTCATCAGACATCTATCTACAGATATATTTTTGAATATTTACTTCCTAGAAGCAAATGTACTACCATGTTTGTCTTTTCAGACTCAGAGGTATTTGCAACCAATAATCTAAATAGATTTCTAGATACAAATAGATTTTGTTTTTTTGAAGGTATAGTTTTATCTAATTTGCATAGTTTATAATATTTCATATTATTTAAAAAGTAGAATATTTATTCAAAAAATATTTTTTGTTAACCAAAATGTCTAAAAAATTATCTTTAAGTAATGCAATAAAGGTAGCTGAATCTCATGCTAAAAAATGTTTTTCCAAAAAATACATTAATAATATAACCCTAATGTATTAGAAATACATGAAAAAACATGAATAATTTGCTATATTTAATAGTATAAAAAATAGTAAAACATAGTGCTCTACTTGTTCAGATACTAGACTTAATATTTTAATTACTAAAGAATTAACATGTAACAAAAATAGTGAATGTCTTTTAAAAAAATATATTAATAGTAAATTAGCTTTATTATAGCATTGTAATAAAGAATATGAATAGTACACAAGTCTTGCTAGTATAAAATATAACAAGTGGTGTCCAAACTGTACATATAGAAAACCACTTACTCTTGAAATTGCTAAGCAAATTGCATATACTAGAAATAGAAAATGTATTTTTAAAAAATATGTTAATAATAGTTCACCTCTTTTATAAGAGTATAAAAATAGACATCAATTTAATCTTTCTTTTTCAAATATCAAAAATTAGAAAAATTAGTATTATAAATATATAAAACTTGGTCTTGAATTCACTCAGAATTTAGCAAATAAAAAAAGTGAGACATGTTTTTCTAGTTATTATCATAACAGATATACACTACTCTTTTGGAAATGTTCTGAAGAATATTTATAGTTTGTTCAGATTAATAGTATTCAAAGAAGGACTTGGTGCCTATATTGTGTAAGTAAATCTAAAAAACTTGGCAATGAATATGCAAAAAAATTAGCATATAACAGGAATGAAGAATGTTTATCTGATGTTTACATCAATTATACAATGCATTTATACTAGAAATGTTTTAAATCACATAAATAGTTTGCTTCTATTAGTGGTATTAAAAACAAAAACTATTAGTGTTTACATTGTGCTAGTACAAAGTTTGATATCTCAATAGCCAAATTTATTGCATATAGCCAAAATGGAGAATGTTTGTTAAATTCCTATATTAATAGCAAAAATCAATTACTCTGAAGATGTAATAAAAACTATCAATAGAATGTTATCCTTTCTTATATAAAAAATAATAATACATGGTGTCTATTTTGCTCTAAATATAAATATGAAAGATTGTGTTAAGAGGTTATATCAAAATATTTTAGATCACTATCTAAGATACGTTGACCTAATTTTCTTAAAACTTTAGATCATCTAACTAAATTAGAACTTGACATTTATTATCTACAATATGGATTTGCAACTGAAGTATAAGAAAAACAATATAAAAGATATATTAAATTCTTTTATAAAGGTGATCCTAATAATTTCATTAAATAGCAATAACAAGATCAACTTAAGAAAGAATTATGCAAAGAGAATTAGATTGTTTTAAAATATATTTGGTATTATAAAGACTCATATAAAGTTATTTCAGAGCATTTACAAAAATTGAGTCTTATTGAATAGAGTTAAAACTTTAAATACAAATTAGTAATTCCATTTATTTAAAATGTTCTCAATCAAAATTATATAACAATATTTTATTTTATTTTTTTACATATTTATATACATGTTTATAAAAAAAACTTTTTATTAAGCAATAAATAAATAAATAAAGTATTTGTTTAAGGAAAAGATTTACTATTGATAAAATGCATTATTAGCAATTAAAGAACAATAATTCTTTGCTAAAGCAAAAAAGACTTAACAGAAACAATTCCTATATCTCAATACTCTTTCATATCCAAAAAGTACTAGAATATTGCATCTATCTGTTACAAGACCTAACTATTATTACAAGAAACCAGACTAGTTATTATTGCAAAACACTGGGCTTAAAACAAAATATGAATATAACAGTTGTTTGTTATGAAACCTAACCTGTTATTACAAGATGTAGACTTAGGACAAACTGTCAATACTCACAAGAGTGTTTGAATTTAAGGTATATAAAGTGCTATATAGCTTGTATAGATAATATCTGAAAAAATTTTTAGACAAATTACATATTATAATCATAAGGTTTAAAAGTCTAAGCTACAAATAAATTTTAACTACATAATATTTAAGATTTCATGTCACAGTCTATTAACTAAATATGCCTTTTATATTAAACTTCTATTACAGAAATTCAGAAGGTTTATTATAAAAAGCTTTATTGATCTATATTTTCTCACTACTTCTTCTGAATAGTAGAAACTTAGCTCTTTTATTGAAATGCATTCTGAACCAGATTTTATAAAAAGTAACTGCCTTTATTTTTACAAAGAAGAACTACAAAATATTTGTAAGTTATCAGAGTTTGATGATAAGCAGAAGACTATGGCATTGAAGCTAATTGAAAAATATGAAATAGACAAAAAAAAGTATGCAGAATTGCTAAAAACTTATAAGAACCAAATTACAGCCTATTCAATTAAATTAGATATTTTTAAGAACAGAGTAAGTATCTTGCACTATCCTAACAAATATTTTTTGTTAAAATGTATAGCTTATAAATATTTTAAAATTATATATAGCTTAAATTATTGGCTAATATTGCAAGGTTTGCAAATTTTATAATTTACATAATGTTCATTCAAGCTAACATATCTGTTAGTAGACATAAAGTACAAGAAAAACAGATAATGTTAGGTTATAATTTATTAACAACTAATCCAAACTCTAAATTATCACAAGGAATTAAATATGACCTTGATAATAAGATAGATGAAGAGGAGTATGACATAAAATGAACAATTAATAGTAGTAAAAGTACTAGTTGGATAGTGAATGAGATTAATATCTGTCAAAGACTTACAGAGTATTAGGAAACAGGCTTTTCAAAAACAAGACCAGAATATTATGAAGTAATATTGTTTACTAACAAAAATCAAGATGGGTTTTTGAAAACATTGAAGAAAAACTTCATTATACAGATGCATAAGGAAATAGAGAGAAAGAATGATAAAACTAAAGAAAATATTGAAAAAAAATAAAGTTATTTCTAAATAATATTATTACTCGCAATATAAAAGAAACTAAGAAAAATCTTAAATTACAAAAAAATAATACATTCAAGAAGAATTTTGTAATATTTTTTGTAAACCACATGTGAGTTTTATATTTTGCTCAATTTTCACTAATAAGTGCAATAAGACTAATTAACTATGGTTTATATAAGATTAAGTTTATTAAAGATGTAAATGTACTTTTTGAGGATATGTTTAAAAGAACATTCATTGCAATAGTTCTGGCACCAATCTTTAATTAACTTTTCATAAAAAACAAAAAGATTTGGTTTACAAAGTATAAGAAAATATGTCTTAGAGCAAGTGCTGAAGAACAAAATTCTCAGAATACAGATGATAAATGATACTTATCTGGTAAGAAGATTGATACAATTATTGCATTAAGAAATGATAATGAAGAATTCTCTGTTATAAAAGTAAGCAGTTCTTTATTAAAAAAAGATTAGTCTTATTTTATTAAAGATTAGCTAAAAATAATTAAAATGTTAAAAACATTGATAAATCAGTTTGTGAAACTTGTCCAAACTCTGATATTAGAATAATTGGTCTGTATGGAATGCAAATATATTGTAAGTTTTAGACATTATTATTATTGATTATTGTATGTTGCTAACTCTTGGAGTTCATAGTATATTAAGTTATTCTACATGAATTTTGACTCAAGTTCTCAGAAATATATACTATAAAAAAATTATTGAAATTTTTAATTTCAAAAACCTGAAAAGACATGAGAAATTCACATGAAGCTATAATCAGATTCTTAAAATATAAGGTTGTATAAAGTTGCATTACAGAAGGAATAGAATTCAGAATACAAAGCACTAACATTTTTTATAAATTAGCATCTGTTATCCAAAAGTTCAAGTACAATAGAAGATTTTTTGTAAATAGAAGATAATAGCAATGAAGAGTTTCAGAAAATGACAACATGAACAGTTTATACTTCTAAATATATAAAATATAAAAAGGTCTAATTAAGAGTAAGAACATTAAAATAGAAATAATCAAAAAAGCATAAATCACTTAATGTTTGAGTTTACATTAATAATAACATGCATATTATATAAAATATATTATATGTATCTTAATATTCTTATAGTCTAATAATTTACATATTTGTGTTTTTATATTTCTATATAATGATTTAGTTCAAAAAATAAATTCTCCAATTTCTGTTTTGCCTAATAATCTGATAAAATTGTTCTTTTAAAATTTATCAGAAAATTAATATGGATTAATAATAATTATAATAACTTATCATTCATATTTTTGAGCTGTCTGTATTCAGATATGATTGGAGTTGGAGTAGATATAGAAATTGCTAGAGAAAATAAAATAAGTATAAATAAACTTCATTATATATCATATTTAGGATTTTGTAAATGAGTTAATATATAAAATGATAATTGAATCATGAAGTGCATTAGTAAAATTGGCAAGAATAAGTAATTGATCATCAGTTCACATCACAATTTTAATATAACTCAAGTATAAGGTACACTTCTTTTTATACAATTATATATGAAAAAAGTTTATCATGTTTACATTGCACTTTCATCACATCTATATTATAGAAATATAAAAGAAAATTAGACACAATGTATATTTTGATTTGTTTATTTTAGACTAGGTGATCTTAAATAAAAATAATAATTATTAGACCAAATTAGCATTATATCCAAATTCATTTATTCTTAATAAGATTTAGTAATCAGTGAAAAATAGTTATTTAATATAAATAACTGATTAACATGTATCTGAAAATTAGATTACATTAAAAATCATTAATATGTACAAATTAAATAATAATCTGAAGGATCAAGTCTTCAACTTTTCAATTTTCTATAAGTTTTGCTAGTATTTAAATTGTAATAATAGCCTTTATTATTATTGTCAGAAAATCTACAGAATCTTCATTGTTATTAAAGAAATCCTTACTTATCATATTTTCCAAATTAGAGATAGTAGCAAGGCTATAAGTATCTGACTCATAATATGATTCAGCAGATATACTTACTTTAGTATTTGATGTATCTTTTGGTTTGATCATGTGATTTTTGGCAGATTCTGTTATATGAATGTATAACTTTTAATTATGCAATAGGTTAACAATATTAATTTGAAATACTTCTTAATTGTAGAAAGTTTATTTGCACTGTAAGATTTAATTTACTTAATTTTATCTTCTCCAATTGTGCCAAATAATTTATATATAAGTTTAGTTCTTTGAGTTCTTTATACAAGCTTATACAAGAAAATCTGAAAAATATTGTAGCATTTTATTATAAATCTGGCCACTTGCCAAATCATATGCTCTTTTATCATTTCTATATTTTATGCATATACATAGCACAGAAATATCATAAAATTAATACATCTATATGTGAAAATGCCTCTTATGTAGTAATCTTTAATTCTGATAGCTCATATGAAAACATCTTCAAAATTATTAGATACTATACTGATGATGTAAAGAGTGCATTTATAGTTATTAATAGCTATCTCTATAAAGGTGTGTTTGTTATATTTGATCTTAGTAGGCTAAAGAATAATTCTCTTGTCATTTAACTAAGGTTTGACACACTATTGAATCTACAAAAAGAAATAGATACAAGGCAAAAATATAAGGAAAAAAGCAATTTAGTTAATTCATAATTTTAATGACAACTAGAGGCTTGTGAATTGCTTATTTTTAAAGTCTGATCTGACTTGCATTTAGGGTTAAAATTTTTTTGCCAGCCCAGTTTGGCCTATATATATTAAATTTTTTCATCAGTTCAGCCTGGTTTGGTCTGAATTGCAAAAATTTTTTATATAATTTTACAAAATTTTAGATCTAATCTGGTTTGCAATTATAAAATTTTACAAATTTTTTGGTTTAGTCCAGCTTATAATTATAAAATTTTGCTTCAGGTCTGGCCCAGTCTGCAAAAATTTGCAGGCTAGACCAGGTTGCAAAATCTAATACAGTTCTTAAATTTAATTTTATATCTGTAATGACAACTTCATTATTTTTCTAATGCTATTTTTGAGATTACAATTGAATAATATAATTTATACATTAATATTTATTTGTAATATATGCAAAAAAAAATAAAAATCTATAAAGTGTATATTAATAATTACTTATATTTTTTTTTATTCTTGGCTATATACAAATTTGAATCATAATATTTATTAATATAGTTTAATAAAAAATTACTAAAAAACATTATAAATTAATAAAACACTGATTTATTAATAAATATAACCAATCCATTTACAATTATTATTAATCAAATTTATAATAA